CAATACTTGGCAGAACGCTTACTCCCACCAAGTTCTACCTGTGTCACTCGAGCAACTCAGGAGGTGAGGCTGAGGAGCCTGACGCAGAGGGAGGCCAGGAAGGAAAAAACAAGGAACTGGGCCTTCTCAGTCGTGGCTCCTCACCTCTGGAACAATCTGCCTCCGGAGATTCGCACAGCTCCCTCGCTGGGTACTTTCAAAAACCAATTAAAAACGTGGATGTTTAGGTAGGCCTTCCCTCCAGTTAATTCCTGATTCTCTCCCCTTCTTTCTCTATTGTGATTTATTTTTTTATGTTCTCCATCTTGTAGCATTGTCTAATTATGTAATAATTCCTTTTTTATATTTATTCACATATTTTGTGTTGTAAGCCGCCTAGAGTGGTCGCAATGCCCAGACAGGCAAGATATAGTAGTCCATGGCATCTGTAAAGTTGTGTCTCAACATCACATTTTGAATGGATTTTTTCCCCTGACATTCTTCTTCACTGCCTGTACACACTAATTGGAAATACCATACTACGGATGAATTTGATCTTGGTTTCAAGTGATACTTCCTTACTTAAAAGCATCTTAATTCCTTCATAGCGAGCGAGAGAGAGAGAGAAGTGTAGATATATTATGAAGAAGAAAATACACAGCCTTGTCTTCTCTCTGACCTGCTGGCTTTCTACATGTAGGATGTTCTTCCCCCATAGGGGAGCATTCCATCATGTGAACCACTACTTGCTATTTAACATGCTCCAACACAAAACAGGAGATAACTATCTCAACAAATTTACTACCCACAAAAAAGGTCCAGAATTTTCATCCTACAATGGTGTCGAAGGATTAATGAAAGCCTCCTTATGATTTTCCCAGAAACAGTAGAAATGCTATAAATAGAACTATTGTTAATCATATTGAAATACTGCTTTGTTTTTACATAAGGCTGGGAAAGGATTCAGCTCCCAAGTGTTGTTTGAAATTATGTGAAACTTAGATGGAAAATAATTCGGAAGAACCAAATTGAACAGTTAATTTTACTTAGGCACCTGGTGTATATTACAGTGCTGCCTTTCTTTACACAGGATTTTATGGCCCAAAATTAATTTTTAATTAGTCATTTGTGAGGTGAGGATGAAGATCCAACAAATGCATATATTGTGGAGACAGGCAAATTTGAACAGGTTACATATTATGAAGTTTTCCTTTACATCTGCCAATCTGATAGTGATTTTTTTAAATGCACCTAAAATTAACTGAGGTCTGCAACAAACAGTCCTGCACCAAGAGAAAAGTCTCAATACTAGGCAAGCAAGCAAGCAAAATAAGTTTATTGCGTGACACACAGGCCATTGCAACATACATTGGATAAAATGGTATAAACAATATACTCCATTAAAATACAGTGGTGCCTCGCTTAACGACGATAATCCGTTCCAGGAAAATCACTGTTAAGTGAAAACATCGTAAAGCGAAATTAAAAAGCCCATTGAAACGCACTGAGAACCATTCAATGCATTCCAATGGGCTAAAAACTCACCGTCCGTACGGTGGACATTTTCGGTGCCTGTATACTGAGGAATCCGTCCCTAATCACAGCAGGGAGCCATTTTAAGCACCCGGTGGCCATTTTGAAAACCCGACAATCAGCTGTATTTGATCGTCATAAAGCGAAAATCGGTTCCCAAAGCAGGGAACCGATCATCGCTAAGCGAAATTCCCCCATTTAGACCATCGTTTTGCAATCGCAATTGCGATCACAAAATGCAGGGCAATCGTTAAGCGGGGCACGACTGTACAGTACAATAAAATATTAAAAGCCATTTAAAATCAGGTTGATTTCTATTACAGCACAAAATTTTGACATCTAAGGAGAGGACCAAGACAGATGGAAAACATTAACCAATGACAGCAGCAAGCACCTATTGCGGGGGGAATAGTCCCAAAGATGTAGTTACTTAAGTACAGTGGTGCCTCGCATAGCGAGGTTAATCCGTTCCGGATTAACCTTCGCTATAGCGAAACATCGCTGAACGGGACAGGGAAAGGCATTGGAACGAATTAAACATCGTTTAATGCGTTCCAAAAGGCTCCTTTACTCACTGTTCAGCGAGGTTTCCTATGGCCCGCAGCCATTTTTGCACCCTCGTTAAGTGAGGGGAGGGCGCGAAAATGCTGCACGCGGCCGTTACGGAGCTTCCGGTGGCCATTTTGTCCGCCAAACAGCTGATCGTCGGGGCTTCGTTTTGCGAAGATCGGTAAGCGAAACGCTTACCGATCTTCGTAAAGCGATTTTCGGCCATAGGGCCCATCGGTAAGCGATCACATTAGCGATCCAAAAAAACGGATCGCTATGTGATTTCGTCATTATACGGTGTGCTCGTTAAGCGAGGCACCACTGTATTGACTTAATTGGCAGAGGCGAGGGATACATATTTCATTTTTATCAATGAAACATTTACCAAATGTGCCATTCAGAAAGTGACAAATTTGTTTCTGTTGGAAAGTAGAATCTTGAGGTTTTTCTTGTTCAGAATTACTAGAGTGTTTTTGTAAAATAGGGTTAAGGAGTCTTTTGTGTCTATTGTCTAATAGTGGACAATAGAGCGCTACATGTGCCAAATTCTCCACTGATTTTTTATCCCAAGAGCAAACTCTCTCGTGATACAGAATTTGTGTACAGTGGCCTAATAAACTGTCTGGTGGTTACATACAAAAATGTGCCCGAGTAAAAACTTTTCTATAATAAGAACTCATTAGATCAGCCAAATAAGATGGAAGATTCAAAGGCAAGGATAGAATGTTCTTATATAAAGGGGGCGTTTTTAGGGTGCCTAACAGACCTAAGAAGTTAGAAAGATCAAGCCTATTCTAAACATAACAGCCCAGGATCATCAGGCACTGTCATTTTATACCCAGCATGAGGAGGCCCAAGCCAGGAGAGATTGTGTGGCTAGCTGCCAAGGCAACATGGTGACCTTCAAATCTCAAAAGTGCCCTGGGGGCGCTGCAAGATATGTGCTCTCAGTCTGTCTTGCT